GGGCTTGTACTACACGTGTTTCATACTTTTTTAGGGGAGCAAAAAAGTGTGAACATATAAGCAAAAACTACGAGGGGTGTTTTTCTACGGTTTTTTTGCATAGGGCACATCTGTGGATTTTGAAATGGCTATAACTTCGTCAAAAATAGACTTAGAGAGGTGGGACAAAGACGAATCTTCTTTATTTTGCATTCCGCAAATGTTTATGGTAAATACATATATTCTTATCATGAGATGTATCATGTGTATATATAGAATGTCCGAATATGCCAGAATGAAATATAAAATATCTCGTAAATTATTGATTTTTTAATATTTATATCTTAATACTTTTTTATTCAAAATAACTAAAAGAATCATATTGCATAATAAAAATAAAAAATATATAATTTCATTTAAAAAAATGACGACAGTACCGTCATCTGCAAATAAATCAATATTGAAATCATATAACCTCCTTGAAACCCTCCTACTTTTATATGAAACATTTTTCTTTAAAATGCATTGTTCAAGAGATATTAAAATGCATTATTTAAAATGGGAAACCTTACTCATATATCTATAATGAAAAATAAAAAACCTATAATAAATTGTAAATATAAAAAAATAATTAATAAAAATAATATAAAAAAAATTATTAATAAAAAAATATTAAAATATGTGCAAGAAAATATGCATAAAAACGTAATAAAATGGCGCCACTTATATAATTATAATATTACATAACTTTGTCTATACTTTATGAATATATAATTCTGTATACTTTATGAATATATATTACATCCATAATTGATTACAACTATATCACTGAAACTCTGAACGGGAATATTTTTTAAATAGTTGTTTGATGTTTACAATCATGGTTCTACTCAACTTTTTTAAATTTTCTCTTTTTGTTTATTCTTGTTGTTTATATTTTTTGACATTGCTATTTTATTGGCACAACAGAGGGAATGCGTTTCATCGAGATTGAACCTTTATTACTTTAGTTCTCAGTAATAATATAATTTGATATCAACTTTCGCACATAATTTTTTAAAAATTTCAAGATTTTTGAACGAAAATATTAATCATTGTGCACTGTTATTAAACTAAATTAAAAACAATATTATCGTTATGAAGTTAATTAGAATAATATCATATCATAACATAATGTTACTTCATGAACACAAACTTTAATTTCAATGTACACTGTCGAAATAAAAAATAAATCAGAAACTAGCCAGAAACTGGCTAAGAATTCTGGTTACTAGCCAGTATCTGGCCAGTTTGACTGGTTAGATTCTGATCAACTTGGGCGACGTCTGTTTGGGCGACGTCGATCGTCAAATTTTATCAGTTTAGAGTCAGTTGTCAGTTATTAACTAGTTTTTCGGGCCTTTTCCTGATCAATTTTTAGCCAATTATTAGTCAGTTTTATATCAATTTCTAGTCAATTATTAATCAGTTTCTGAATAATTAATTACTTCTTAATTAGTTTTTAATTTTTAGTTTTTATTTTTTGTTTTTATTCTTTATTTGATGAATTATTTATTCAGTAAATTCAATTAATTTTTTATATTGTATTATTATCATATTAAATATCAATCCGTAATTAATTTAATAAAATTATTATAACTTTCATCATAGAAGATATATTTACTAATAATTCCTCGTATGTACAATTTTTTATAACAAAAATTAATTAAATTTTGTATAACAAGAACTGTAAACTTTTAACCTTTAAATTTAAAATTTAAACTTTAACTTTAGCTGTTAATTTTTAACTTTTTCTTTATTCACTTATAGAAAAGATATTATTTACTTTGAAGCTTTTTTCCGTGATGCTGATTAATTGCTGGCCTATTTTTGATCAGTTATTGTCAGAAAATAACAATCAGAAAAATTTACGTTTTATATTTAATAGAAATTAGTTAATATTTACTGACCATTAATATGGTTAGTTTCTGACTAATTGTTAGGCAGAAAGTACTACAGAAAGGCTTACTAGCCAAAAACTATACGAACCAATTATATCTGGCTAGTTTCTGACTAATTATTAACCAGAAAATGCTAGTCAGAATATTCCAAGTTTTGTTGGTCAGAAACTGGCTAGCATTTATTGGTTAGTTTGACTTGGCTAGTTTCTGAACAGTTTCTGATTAGTTGCTGACTAGTATTATCTAATAAAAATTTTCTGATCAGTTATTTATGAATAGTTAATTGTTCAGTAAATTCAAAAGAATAAAAACTAACCAGTTTCTAGTTAGTAATTAGTTATTAACCAGTAACTAGTTTTTCTTATATATTTTTTTACTTGGATGGTCTCCATCGTCTCTAAAAATGATGAAACAAAAGTTGAACTCAGTGTAATTTTTTGCATCAGCTTTGTCAGTGGAATATTAAATTGAAGGTTTACTGAAGGTAACTATGTTAACTGATTTTCACAATAGAACAATACAATTGCATGCGTTAATATTGCACTAGTTTTCCAAGTAAAAAACGCAATATATTCAATTTCATAACAACATTAAAACATTAGCAGATAATATTCTTCTTAATATAAAAATCCTAAATATATTTCCTATTTTCTATTCTATTTTATAATACTCTTTACAATACTCTTGTTTGACTATATATAGACAATTATTAAAAAATTCCTAATTGCAATTTCCTTTCCCTTTCACTTGCTCCAAAAATCTAAACGGTTCAGCAGTCAGGAAGTTAATGCACGTCGCACGTAAATTTAAAAGACAAACCGGCGACAGCCGGTCGTGTTCGACGGGACGAAGCTTTATTCCGCGAGAAATATCGTTCCCGTCGAGTGTAATCCTCATTACGCCTCGCTTCCACGAATCGTGAGATACGCGCCGTAAAAGACGGCGGCTATCGCGCGAAAACGGAACTTGAAAATCTCGGCGCAAAGAACTGCTGCATTGCTCGGAGGACGGGCGTGCTGAATTTCTCGTTTGTGCAATTCAGCCGCGTAATCTAATGAGCAAACGCCGCGGACTTGGCGCGCGGACCGGAAATTGAAGTATACATTATGAAACGTGCCGCTGCACCGTTTCCTATGCAAGCCGCGTGTCGCCGACACCGTTGTCGTCGTCATCGTTGTTGTCGTCGTCGTTGTCGTTGTCATCGTCGTCGTTGTCATCGTCGCGATCGCGAAACCAGGTCGCGCATGCCGCGCGCGGCCTTACCACCGAATTCGCGGATTTCCCACTCGAGGAATTGCAGTTTTCTGACTCGCGGCCGTAGCAATGAATATTTAGCGACAGGTACGTGACTCCGTTGAATATCCGGGTTGAGTCGGGAGGGGGTCGGCGATTTTCAGAAGAAATCTCCTTAAGATGAATGTAACTCGCGCTATCACGAAAATATAATTTATCGAACCTCTGCGAGATATTTTCGGATATCTCTTTCTCCGCAATTGCCTCCGCAATGCAATTCCTCTCATAATTGTTTTTCGTAATAAATCACGCGCGCTCTTTGGTTACCTCTTACAGAAGTAATAGTAACGACGTTGAATTAAAAAACGCTCACGGGTTTATCATGTGCCATTATATACGATATAAATGAAATATAGAGTTACGCTCTACTCCACAAGCAACGATAATTCTAACTTAAATTACTCGATTCTGTATATTCGCAGTACACAAGTATATTGTTATTACTTTCGTCCATTTATAATTTGTTGTACACAGGATCTATTATATTTACAAGAGCACGCACCAATTATTTTCTGATTATAAATTACGTAAAATTATCGCGACGTTGCATCATCGGAGAATAATTCGTGATTATATGAATCGTATATAAAGACGCGAGTCTTCTAAACTTTGTCAAGCTCGTCAAAGCTGAATTGGCTTTTAACTTTACGACTTTCCGTCGAGATCTTCGAAATAACAAACTATTGTAGTTTTGTTCGTTTACGACCATTCTGATTAATTTGGCGACAGAATTTACGTTTACCCCCTCCCCTTTCCCTGTCTTTCTCTATGCGTTGTGTGTGTATGTGTGGGTGGCCTCTTTCGCTTAACTTAGCTGGTCAAACTCCATCGGCGGATGGAATTTACGAGATAATTAATCTTTTATACAACAAGGATTAATTAACTCGTGCAAATTTATTCGTAGCCAAAGGTTTCGTGAATGTATCGGCTTCTATTATGATACTTGAAAATGGATGATGCAGTTTCGAACCATGTTTCCTCCCATCTTCTCCGCAGAATATTATCAGCGCTTGAAATCTTATTGAAATTTTGTGGAGCATTATACCATGTTGTAAAAATTTTATACACAGATATTTCTTCATTCATTCATTTTTTACATTTGTGTTATATTGAATGTTACATGCAATATACAATTTAATTAAACAAGTTTCAACCGCAAAGTAGTTCTCTGAATTGATTTAAAATTTTATCATAAATAGTTTTCATTTGGTTACAATAATTTCCTGCATACTATAGTTTGATCGCAATGGTGATATAAAAGCGAACATCAAATGCATATGCATTGATTTTAATTATATTACTTGAATGGAAAGATGAAAATTGAAAATTACGGGAACATTTATTTCGCATAATGGGGATTGGTCGGAAGAACATTTATCGCGTTTATTAAACGAGCAAATTGTACTTGTAATTAAATCTGAATTAATAGCGCCTCAGATTATCCATTTTATATTATTGTACGTATTGCAACAATTTTCGTACTTATCGTTTAAATATAGGTTATTAGATAAGGTGTCTCTTATGCAATAGTCGGTCTCCTTTTGTTTTTTATATGCTAATTATACAATAAAAATCTTTCAGATATTTTTGTTGAAATTTATAAATAAATGTGTATAATCGTTCTGTTAAAAGTCGGCTCACACATTTCCACGGAATTGTAAAACAGTATTCAAGTTACCAGGAGAAATTAATTATAACGTTATACTATGTCTAAAAAGCATTCGAAAGATTTCACGTATTATTTCACACTTTTTAATACATAATTTTTCCATTTTCGTGTTTGCGCAGGAGTGGACAGACTATAACCTCCAGTGGAACCAGTCCGAGTACGGCGGAGTGAAGGACCTTCGAATTACGCCGAATAAGCTTTGGAAACCGGATATCCTCATGTACAACAGGTAATCTGGCCTCGTTACATCTGCGTAGACTCTCATTTTGTATTGACAAGCCAGTAGCTTCGACAAACAAATTTGTTAGGAGCATTTCAGTCTCGAGCGCGCGCGAGAGGAGGTTCCTTCCATAATAGAATTCTTAATTAAAGTAGTTGGACAAAAAGCAGCACTAACTAACGCTCGTAATCATCGTGCTAATAAAATATGCTCAGTAAAAACACGTGTGTAAATTGGTTTCCCGGAGTAACATGCCGCGCGCGGAAAGAGAGATTTAAATGATAATTTTAAGTTGACAACAGCCTAAAAAGAGGCAAGGTTCAAAACTCAGGGCAAGGTTTCAACTGTTCTCGTGTCAATCCGTTCGTCGCAGAGTAAAACTGTCAAGACGCGAGTGAAAATAATCGAGGAATTCACGTTACATTCAATTCTGACACTCATGTCCACTGTAATTCACTGAGTTTTAACGACAATCGCCGCGCGTCGATAAAGATCGAGACTTCCGATAGTTCGGTCGCGATTCTAGCTTGTCAATATTTCAAGAGTTACCGTTTACACCGCGAAAGCGTCGAGAAAACCAACAACCGCGTGAACAGCTTTATGTCGACTCGCGAACCTCCGGCATGACGATGACGAAAAAATGCAATCGCGACCCGTGAAGACAAAATGCGCGACTTTATTATCGTAAAATTAAAATGCGTGAGCTACATTTCCGTCCCGAGTGAAGCAGCCACGAATTTCTCCGACGGGCTTTAAACGGCTGCCACTTGTCCGGAAAGCGTATTTGCCCCTCCCCTCTGAATTCCTAAGAGAGAGAATTAAGATTTTTAAGAATGTTTTTTCAGAAAAGCTGCGACGGCTAAGAAATAGCGCGGCGATAGCGCCACTGCAGCAAAAGTTTTTTCATTAATTTTAAGTTCGCTCCCTCGGAGACACTCCGTACGGGGCGTAAATTATTTTCAATGTACCTCGTACTCTTTTCACGTGCCGTTACAGTATTGCGAATGTAGTATATAAAAAAAAAAGAAAGAATCGAAAGGGTACGTAACTTTTATCCTAG